TCCACTTGCTAACTTAGAATATACCGATGACACAGTTCTATTTGGTGAGGACGCTGACAAAATGCAGTCTTCTGATCACTCTAAGCAACAATGCAAGCATGTTCCGAATGCGATTCTCTCCCTCGAAACGCAAAATGTTACTTCAGAATTGGGTCGCATCGAAACCCGAACTAATGATAGGGAGTGAAGTAGTTGAGTGTGTCGACCGCTTCACTTATCTTGGAAGTCTGATCAGCCCTTGTGGTCTGGTGTGTGACGAAATCTCAGCACGGATACAGAAGGCTCGACTAGCTTTTGCCAACTTGTGTCATTTATGGCGTAGGCGAGATATCCGTCTATCAACCAAAGGACGTGTTTACTGTGCAGCAGTTCGTTCCGTCCTACTTTATGGCAGTGAAACATGACCGGTAAGAGTAGAGGATATCCGTAGGCTACTAGTATTTGATCATAGGTGTCTTCGAAACATTGCTCGTATATCATGGGACCATCGATTAAGTAACACAGTTGTTAGAAAACGGGTACTAGGTAAGGATGGCAAATCAATTGATGACGTAATGAAACTTCATCAGTTGAGATGGCTGAGACATGTGTTACGTATGCCCAACCACCGACTGCCTCGATGTGCGATGTTTTGTTGTATAGGAGTAGGTTGGAAGAAAGCTAGGGGCGGCCAGACCAAAACATGGCACAAGTCCATGAAGTCACTGACAAGTGGACTGAGTCATGTTGGTAGGTGTAGACTGCCTGGTTGGGATCCGCGAGACGATAGCAACCGATGATTAGAGACCTTGAACGACATGACCCAAAATCGTTTACAATAGAGCAGGTGCATCTACTCTTTGTGTTCTCCCAAATTTTCCTTCTCTCTCCAAATTTATTTCACTGGATTATACTCCTTGAATAACATCTTCAATCCCTAGTCTTTCCGGCTACTGCTTATACTCTTACTACCTCAACAACTGCATCTCTGAGATAATATGGTATGGCAACTCGAACTGATGTACGTACGTACGAAGTTCTACGTTGTTACTGACTGATTGACTTAGACTCATACCTATTTTATATATCAATAAATGACGTGTTTGATTCAAAGATATGTTGATAGATTACTTAAAAGCATCATATTTAAATGACCAGATTTTTTATTGTTTACTTCTTTACTTTCAGAATTGTTTTCAATTATCTGCATCATGGATTTGGCAAAGTATAAAAAAGCGTATCTGTCTACCAGAATCTGACTATAATATAATGTAATATTTTATATGCCTACTTTCTTTTATTTTTAAGATTGTAAACATTATTTTTCTAGAAGCATATCACTTTCCTTTTAAGATTTCTATTAATACTGTATATTGACTATTTGTATACAGCAATAAAGTGATATATTGAACGAATTCAATTATGTTCTTTAAAAATATACATATACTTGGTAATGAATGATTAGAAAAATCAACAGGATAAGGAGAATATGCTCCCATCTTAACACCAGCTAAATCCAAGAACCTATTCTGATTTGTCAAGATTGAAAGATGGTACATTGAACCAGTCAGAAATTGGCCAAATGATAAATGCGCGTGATTGCCACTCCCCTAATGCCTTAGTACGACCGATAGTGGGGAGCTTCCACTCTCTCTCTCGAAATGCTCTCACATGGCCACGTGCATACAACCACTGTCAGGGAAGTCCTACACACTACCTTTTCGCGGCATTACTGTTGTTTACGAAATTGAGAGGAGGGAAAGCAAATGTCCGATGCTTCAAACGGGTTGGTGGACACGAAGAGTCCATCTAGGGGAGTAGGGAAACCTTGGTTTCAAACCAATAGTGCACAAGTGGCGCACTAACCGATCGTCGGTCACTGACTACCATAGGACTGTATCTCCTGACGTTGCTCCACTGTCTCATGGATTAGACCTTTAGTTCGAAGGCCCCCTAAGATAACCACCCGCCCTGGTTTGGGCACCCGGACAGTATCCGAGGCCTCACAGAAATCGATTGGTTTATTTAGTGCCTCCTTGTACCAATGTTTGTGTGTTTAAATAAGTGCGCGATTGGCCTATAAACAAGTTTCATTCATAAGAAGTGAAACATACATCAGTAGCCTAATTTTTTAAGGATATATATATATGAGTGCACATACAGTCGATTCCCTTCGTCAATAAACTACTTTTCTAATTGTCTTTTAATTCGAGCAGCCAGTTGAGGCCATTCTTAGGAAGACTGTGTATCAGTATCACACCCAAACATCGCACGCTACAAAAGCGTTAGGTTTATGTTTTATAGTTGCTAACATTCATTAGAAATCTACATGAGGTACGTCCTTTAATTGACCATTAGGTGGCAAATCATGTATTATCAAGTAATTATGCAATTAAAGTTCTGGTTAACTGGTTCAATTACAACCAGCAGGTTGTCTCTTGTTTTCTAAATGCATCACATGAAGCTTTGGATCTTCAAATAAATTTTCGTTTACCAAGAATCGACATGATCTCTCCTTACTTGCCTCGCCTATCAGTTTCAGTTCACCGTGATATCTGACCGCTTATCTTATTAGTCGAAATCTAGACATGCAGTCACTAAATTCGAGGGCTGATTATTCTACATTCCAGCGGAATAGTGATAGGTAAGTGTTTGGGGCGCTCGACTTCTAGTTGCAGGTCTCTAGATCCGAAGCCCGCTTCGTAAACTTTAGTTCGTGTATTTGGCTAATGCATTCATGTATCCCAGGTAGTCTAATGCTAATCTGCGTCAATATCATCATTAGATTGCCTAAGATATATATGGCATCCTATAAGCTACAAGATCTTTTTTGTTTTCTGATCCGTCAATTGTGGTTACTCAAATGAGTCATAAATTACCTTCCTGCACAGCAAACATTGGGGGTCCTGTCAATACAATGATTAGGTATCGTATATAAGTTTCCAAGCTTGGAACAGCGTTTATTTACTTAAACACAAACATTGGTAAAATGTGGCACCAAATATATATGCGCTACATAAGTCATTCGATTTTTGTGAGCTGGAATACTGCCCAGGCGCTAAAACCGAAGTGGGTCATATCTGCAAATCTATGATGCATTTGCCATAATCCAGAAATTAAATGCTTATTTAAAAGAAATGAAGACATAAAACAACAACCAAAAGAAGAATAGTTAGCCATACCCATCATATATTGGGTACTTCACTACTTCCGAATTATACTATAGCACTATGGTCTAGGAATGATATTACCAAAAGCTCTTCAATAACTTTTAAGATGTAAGTAATTATGATTTTATAGTTTATGACTTAATTAATTATTTATTTGAAGACAGATATTGGCACAAGGGGGCACCAGATACGTATGCGCCACACAAATCTAATTTGATTTGTGTGAGAGCTGTGATAATGCCCAAGTGCAAGTGGTTTTCTTAGGGAGCCACACGTGGAGCCTTTCACCTGAAGGCCTAATCCACAAGGCAGTGGAGCAATGCAAGGAAATGCATTCCCATGGTAGTCGGTGACAAACGATTGGTCCATGCGCCATTTGTTCCCTCAGGATACTGGACCCCATGTGCACTATTGGTTTGAAATCAAGGTTTCCCTACTCCCCTAGGTGGACTCTTCGTGTCCACCAACCCGTTTGAAGCATCGGACATTTGCTTTCCCTCCTCTCAATTTCGTAAACAACAGTAATGCCGCGAAAAGGTAGTGTGTAGGACTTCCCTGACAGTGGTTGTTCACATGTGGCCATTGTGAGAGCATTTCGAGAGAGAGTGGACTCTCCCCACTATCGGTCGTACCAGGGCATTTGAGGGCCATGACTTAATACATCTTATACGATAGTAAGTACTGAGATACAATCTATATTTTGTTTAGAAAAATCTAGTACATACTCTGTCTATTGTTATCAAATGATATAAATAATGTTTTACAGAAACTTATATTGTAAAAAGGCCCCCAAATGCCCTGGTACGGCCAAGAGTGAGGAGTCCGTTCTCCCTCTAGAAATGCTCTCACATGGCCACGCGTATGTAGCCTCTGCCAGGGAAGTCCTACTCAATGCCTTCTCGTACCACGGGTGTTGTTTACGAGAATGAGAGGATGAAAAGCAAATGTCCGATGATTTAACCAGATTCCAAACCAATGGTGCACATGGTCTCCAGTATCCTCCGGTAACAAATGGCGTATGAACCAATCGTTGGTCACCGGCTACCATGGGACTGCATCTCCTCACGATGCTCCACTGCTTTGTGGATCAAACCTTCAGGTCGAGGGCTCGGGGAGTGGCCCCCTAAGAAAACCACCTGCTTCGTTTTGGGCACCCGGACAGTATCACAGCCCTCACACATATTGAATGAGATTTTTGTGGCGCCTATGTATTTGGTGCCTCCTTGTACCAATATCTATGTGTTAAAATAAATAAATAATAATACTGTAAAAAGAAGAGTCGATACAGATAAAGAATCCAATGATTCATTTTTTTTTATTCCATATTTCCTAATCAATAATTTAATAACACCAGAATGAACGAAATGTAATCGAACTCTAGAGTGAACACGTTTACTTTTATAGCCTACACTATAATCATGTACAATGGTTAGAGACCCTGAATGATATGGCTCAAAATGGTTTGCAATGGCGCAAGTGCATCCACTCTTTGTGTTCTCTCAAATTCTAATCTCCTGATTCCTCCTTGTCTCTTTTTTCCTCTTCCCAAATTTACTTCACTGGACTATACTCTATAAATAACATCTCCAAACCCTAACCTTTCCGATTACTGCTTTTACTCTTACTACCTCTACCACTACAGGATTTGAATCGATAACTGCATCTCTGTGCTAATGTAGTACGGCAACTCGAATTGATGTACGTACGTACGAAGTTCTACGTTGTTATTGACTGACTGACTGACAAGAATAAATCCCACTCATTAGTATTATTATATAATGTACAAATAATATCTGAATAAATATACAGGATAATTATAAAAGTTAAACAAAAGAATGAATAGTACAAAAGTTAATATTGTGTATGTTGATTTAGTGTATGTCGTAGTGAATTATTTTCATGTTTCATTTGATTAATAACATTATGAAACTCTTTACACATTTGATCAAGTTTACATTCTAATTTAGTAAATTTAAATAATAATTCATTATGTGACCAATTCAATTGAGACATCATAGATTGAAGTTTAACATTGAAATATTGTTCTAACCATTCATTTGTTATATGAATTGAATTGAGATTTACAGAATCTTTAAGATGATGACAATCGGATTTTAATTGTTGATTAATATTTACAACATTAACATCTATATTAGATTGTGGTCTTAATGATACAGTTTTCTCTACATTATTGATATTCACTTCTGACAAATTAGATTTTATAGAACCTTGATCAGATGATGGAAACATACTGGAATTTGAATGTAATGAAATGTCTGGTACAGAAAACTCACGAAATAATGATACCCATGTATCAGGTTGATATTTAGGTATAATATTAGTTACTTCATGAAGTGGTTGTTTTGATGAACTCAGTAATGTGTCTGTAACAATACTCTGTACTGAAGTTGAATTTCCATACAATTTCGCATCAAGGTTCTCGTCCTGTAAACTTTCAAGCCAATTGGATTTTGGGGAGTTAAACTTAACTTCGTCACTAGTCCGATAAACAAAAGAGAACGAAAGCAAGCTTATTGGAATATTCAATCCTGAGGAAACACAACGGATAGGTGAAGTAAAATCAGGTATATTATAAAACCAAATATTACCATTTGCTAAGCCAGTTGCAAGAATGTTTGTGTCCAAAGAGACAGCAACACTTAAATATCCATGTTGTTCATCAATCGGTGACAACGTTTTTATTGGTAATAATTTAAGTCGAGACGCTTCCCACATACGTAAATTCATATCCGGTGCTCCTGCAGTAAAAAATCGTCCACCAATTGACAAAGCCATATCCATGCAATATTCACAGTTATTCGTGTTTATCGTAGTGGATAGAAAAGATTTAGGATCCCAGCGACAAAAAATTAACTTCTCTGTAGGCCTAACAATAGGCCAGTCTAAATACCATATAATAATAGATCCATCAGAATAACCACAATATAACGAATCATTGTTTCCTCTGCAAGTTCTAAAAATATTACATGCAGGTGTAGAAGGATTGTTGTTTTCGGGATATGAAGGAAATGGTAATATGAAATTCTCACATTCACCTGTAGACGTACCAGACGCAGCTAAAAATAAGACAATAGATCCATTACTATATCCAGCAGCAACAACACGGTCCTTTAAAATCCAGATGACACACCTAGGCTGCATTTCATTGGAAGATGATCTTTCAGAATTATTACTGAAGCGTAACTGCGAATAAAAAGAAATTTGTTTTTGGCATTTGTATAAATTTATTGGGCCAGCACTAGTCCCAACAGCTAGATATTTTCCTGATCTTTGCGGAAAAGCTATGCAAGTTGCTGTGAAACTATGTGATAGCAAACTGAAAGTAGTTATATCCGATGCGTTTTGATCATATACATGATTTTTGCCAGTATACAGACGTCGAAAGAAAATAGTAGAACCAGAATTGTCAATAACAGCTAGCTTACAAGACCGAGGTTCCCACTGAATCGACCGTAGCGAACACGTTACTGTCATTTGAGGCTTGTAAGTCAAGGAAGGAGAATCAGGGATCTCCAAGTTACGGATGCCTGGATTTGACAATGACGATTCAAACACATTCTTATCATATCGTACGGACCAAAAATGGACTGAAGAGTTTTGTACAGCAGCAAGATACATGCATTGGTCCATAAAAAAAGAATCCCTATAGGTAGAATAATAGTTCGATTAAAATGATTAGCTGAATAAGTGTCAAACTACAGAAAAATGTAAAATTACTCGTTTTGTAGATTTTTAAACTATCAACTGACAGTTGAATTGAATTTAAATTAAACCTAATACTATAGGAAGGTATATTTGAGAACAAAACAACATTCATATTTTTATCAACGAAAGTAGTCTGTTTTCACATTATTAACTTATATTGTAGATTTCCCCAGTCATGTCAATTCGTAGTTTTCTTTCTCCTAAATTCTGGGGAAATACTAGAAAAAACTCAAAATTTCCTCAAACGATTAAGAGATTCCCATGAATAACTTGAAATTTTTAGAAAAAAATACTCTGACCAGGAAGACTTTTGAGGGTTTGTGTCACATTTCCCTAAGATTTCCTGTTGCGAATCCTCCAAAATTCTATCAAAACTAATAAAATTTCCTACAAAATAGGGTGATTGGGGACAGCTGTTGATGTTAAACGCAATCATATGGTTATTTCTTATAATATCTACCTATACATTTATTATTGACATATATTTTATAGCATCAAAGAACCGAAGTTCATTACCATGTATAACTTACATCGATTTGGTCAGACAACGACTCAGTGGCATCGTTCATTGATGAAGGTTGCTGAGCAGTCAGTCAACTACAACGTAGGACCAGGCACATTTATGCATCGTTCCAAGTTGTCATACCGCATTAGCACAGCAAGATGAACATCGGATTCATACGAGTGAGTGGTTAAGTCAATGGTGGTAATATATAAAAGAAAGATTGCATATAAGGATATAGTACAGGAAGAAAGAATTAGTTCGTAGAAAGAAAGATATGGGGCGATATTAATTTCTTAGTTTAAGGGAGGACAGGGAGTGTATGCACCTACGTCATTGTGATCGATTCTGAGACATGTCACCCAAAGTCTCCAACTATTGGTTACGATAGTCACGCGGACTCCAACCAAGTAGTTTGCATCTAACAACATGGCTCAGATTAGAAATAAGTGACTTCACTGACTGATGCCACGTTTTGGTTTGGCCACCCCTAACTTTCTTCCAACCATCTCCAACACTAGTGAGCATTGTGCGTCGTGATAATCGGTGTTCAGGCATACGTAACACATGGCCCAACCATCTCAGTTGATGAAGATTCACAATTTTATCAGCTGACTTAACATCATCATTCCCTGATACCCTACGTCTAACCTCACTATTACTTACGCGGTGATCCCAACAAACGCCTGCAATATTTATAAGGCATCTGTGGTCAAATACTAGTAGCTTACGAGTATCTTCTACTGTTGATTGCCATGTTTTACTGCCGTTAAGTAGAACAGAACGAACTGCCGTGCAGTATACTCGTCCTTTTATTGATAGACGGACATTTCGCCTTTGCCATAGGTGAAGTAAGTTGGCAAAAGTCAAACAAGCTTTACGAATCTGTGCTGAGATTTCGTCCGATACCAACCCACTAGGGCTGATCAGACTTCCAAGATAAGTGAAGTTGTCAACGCGTTCGACTACTTTATTCCCTATCCTTAGTACAGGTGTAGACGCAGACCAGTTCTGAAGCAACAACTTGCATTTAGAGGGAGAGAAGCGCATTCCAAACATTCTGGCATTATTGCTTAGTGCTACCAAAGACTCTGGATTTTATCAGCGTCTTCACCAAACAGGACTGTGTCATCTGCGTATTCTAAGTCGATAAGTGGACCTCGTGGAAGGAGATCAATACCCGAGAATTCAGTAGACGAGAATGTTATTTCCATCAATAGGTTTATGATGAAGTTAAACAAAAATGGAGAAAGTGGATGGCCTTGACGGACACTTGAGGTTGCAAAAGTAGATGACAGTTCGCCATAAGCTCTGACTCGACTAGTAGTGTTCGAGTAAAGAGCCTTTACAAGGTTTATGTACTTCTGAGGTACACCTCTGAATGACAGACACTGCCACAGAATCTCGCGGTCTACCGAGTCAAATACTGCCTTTAAGTTAAGAAAGACCACCATTGTTGGCCGCCGATAAGTATGTCTATGTTCTAGAACCTGACAAATGGTGAACATGTGGTCGATGCAGCCACGACCAGGTCTGAAGCCAGCTAGATTCTCTTGTGTTTGCAGTTCACAAGTCCTAGTTAGGCGTCCGATAATTATCGAGGCTAGTATTTTAGATACCATAATAGTTAAACTAATCCCTCTATGGTTGTCACAGGATGATTTTGACCCTTTCTTATATATTGGGACGATAAGTGATTGTGACTAGTCAGATGGGATAACGTCCAACTCCCAGATTTTAGCTAAAATATTAGTCAACCGAATGGTTAAAAAGGCAACGACATGTGTCCCTATCCTTCCGAGGTCTTACGGAGCCGTTTGGCCGAACGGCACATAAACGACCGTTAACGGGAATCCACTCTAACAGTGCTTGTTCCGCCCTCATGCTTAGTGCTACGCCTACACCTGCCAGTTCACGGGAACTAGCCATTGGGTCGCCAGATACACGGAGGGTGTATCTCGTCGGCTCTCCGTTTTGCCGAGGTGAGGTTAAGTGAATAACCACACTGGAATCCTGTATGCGTGTTTCGGAGACACAGCATACATCAATGGTACGAGATTCTAGAGTTTTAGCCAAGGAAGCCCGCTGATCGATTTGACATAAGGTGCGTAAGTTGAAGGCTCCAATGTGTAGTTTGGAGCGAGGTTTCAGCAGACCTGGGACAGTGTTTCGCGCACTAGAATCGTTGGCCATGGTGACACTTGAGGAGGAAGCCAAAAGAGGAAGTTTAGAGTTGAAAGACGATGTAGGAGGAATAATAGGAATTGAAGAGGAAGGTTGATTATGAATACAGTGGTCTTGAGTGTTTTTAGAGGTATGAGGGCGGTTATCACTTCCCGGTTGCCCACACCGTGGAAGGGTTGTTCTGGAGGTACCTGAAAAAGAAATTGGGTTAGGGGTGGTTTTAGTGACCTGAGAGCGTGACCCCAGTGACCAAGGGACAACTGATTGAGGTCAGTCACACACTAACTTTTTGCGAGTAGTTTTCGTGTTAGCTCCGTACTTTTTGAGACCTTACCGTCGGACGGATATCCGTGGGATAAAGCGAGGTGTGCATTTTTAGGATCGACCTTTTCTAACGCCACCCCCCGTCGTGGCAGTATCGCTGTTATGCTGGTTGTCTGAAGGAAACACTACTGCTGTCATACCTCTGTACAGTCAGCAGTACGACTTCGCCTTCGGACCTTGGGTTTGTTGTTTTTAGTCTTACCGCTTTCCAACCGACCTGTCTGACATGGTAGGACCTTGAGGTTTTCGCGCACATGTAATATATTGTGGATTTTTTGTGTCGTTATTTATCAGCTATAATAGCCTTTTTTCTATCACACGTCAATTTTCATAATGTTTGTGCTTGTTACAGTTTTTATTCCAATTTATTAGCAGTTTGACGTATTTGTTGCTCACCACCTAGGTGAATCTTTAGTAGGCCTAATATGGTTATTTGTAACAATGCAAACTCAAGCAAGTAAAATTCACCACTTTCCAAGTCAAAAAATAGATCACAGATTGAGTTTTCAGAAAAATAAGCTTTAAAACCTATTACATATGGTTTACCTCCTCGACTTAGACTTCAGATGCCACAGATTAGTTAAAGTCCTTACGGCTTTTTATTCATTGTCAGACCTGCTGATTTACGTTACGACCAAACGTGCAATGAAACACCACAGACAAGTATTTATATCTCATATCCTTCAACAAATTACTTTCTGCATGAACATAGTGCGTATGAATAATCTGAGAAGACATAGAATTATTCTTCCATACTTTATGGAAATCCTTTAGCGCACTATCTAATTCACTCCAGCTTCCGAATCGCTTGTTCAGCATTATACGTTGAAACACCTCGCTTACTTCACTGAAACTTCACTTGAGCATGAAGCACTACAGACGACACGCATTAATTATTAAAAAGTTATTCCTTGAAAAAAAACTAACTGAAAGAAGTACAACAAACATTTAGGACTTACCGTGGAGTTGACATTTCGTCTTAACTTCTTTGTTTAACAGCGACTCACGGAAACTCGGCGTATCTGTAACTTTTAACGTTATCTTATCTTTCTTACGTCGTTTTCCGGACCTTATCAACAAATTATATAAAGGTGTTGACGTTTACTACAGCAGTTAAGATCACAGATCAAGTTACGAAGCAACAACAGAGCTAACATGTACACTACAAAACAGAGAATGTTAAATTAATGCTCTTAGCAGTCTTTTGTGCCTTTTCATGCAGCAAAAGATGACTTAAATATATTAAAAAAACTTAACACTCAGTCAACCCAACTCACGGGGATTGAAATACGGAATCACCGCCTCTTTCAGGCCGTTCAAGGTCGTTGAAACGAAACGGCGGACAGATTTGAAGGAGCTTACCTCTTTTACCTTGTCTTTGATTTGACTTCAGCCATACTACATCTGATAGCCTCCATCCTTCGAGTAACTAAATTGATGACATCATAGTGCTGCATGATATAGGACAAATCTTCAGTGACATTATGCTATGCGACGATTTACTAGATGTGATAATTTCGAGACGGTCTCGATCCACGTGGATCTAATCGAAAACAATATTGTTCGCCTATATATGTTGTTATAAATTTACAATATGGCAAAAACTAAGGTTAATGTACCTCTCCAAATCCCGCTCATCATCACCTTGACGGTATATGTTTTATTCAGATTTGTGTAGTAAGGCCAGAAGGCCTACGGTGTATTATTCCTTTTCTAGTATGCTACTTTGTGTGTCCAGTCTCCTCTTGAGTGAGTCAATTGAAGGTTCGGGCACCACTGCTGCCGGTAATAGGTTTCAAGTATTGATGACTCGATGTGAAAACCTGTGTAGGGACCTACTTTTATCAAGAGAACGCGATCGGTTTAATGGAAAAAATCATTATTATAACCAATTGTACCGGTGATTGTTTTACTGTGCTGGTTTGTTTAACTGTACTAAAGACAGTTATTACTCCTCCATTACTCTCTTCCGTGAACTGTGACCTTGTACGCTTGTACTCTCACCCACTAATTCCGCTTGACACGATCGCGGTATTCTTCCGATACTACGAGATCGCAAACGAAATAAATCTGGTTACGATCCCTTCTCGCCTTCTGGTTTTTCTGGTACGCTTTCTTCTTGTAGTGGTGTTTATAGTCAACCACGACTCGACACCACACTACTCCAGTATTCCACTGGCATTTTAGTTCGTTCTTGGCTCTCCTACTCGTCTGCTATGTCCTCTGAGATGTCCCGATCTAGTGGGAAGAAAAAGAGAATATGTTAGGCCCAAGATCATTTCTCAGTATTTTGTACATCAAAATTAGATTTCCCCATAGTTTGGGATAGGACAGAGTAAATAGGTCCAGCTTTTCCACTCGCCCTTTGTATGGTAAACCACGGAGTTCTGGAATTGCATACGTGGCTGCACTCTGTACTCTTTACTGGATGTTCGAGTCACCTTTTAAACAGGAGCTTGCAGCTTGAACACAGTTCTCGAACTTAGTTCTCACTAAGGATGTGTATACTGCAATGAACATGGTATTATCTGACTTAGCAAATGTCCGTTCTGAAGCCCAAAGGGTTCTAAACCCTTTAGCTGCGACCTGCCGACAATGGGCCGTCGTTTTAAAATCATGACTCATTGTCACCCCTAGATCCTTATGAGACCGGACCACGGATACAGGCTCTTCCTCTATGCTGTACCTATTAATCTTTGTATCCCCAAAGTTCATACAGACAATTGCGCGTTGATAGGCATCAGCCACGCTTTAGACCAGTTAATCACATTATTTAAGTCCACCTGAAGTGTACATGCGTCTTCGTCTCCGGTTATTACTCGCCAGGTTTTCTACATCGTCAGCGTATAATAACATTGGCGAATGTACCATACTTGGGAGATCATTTACAAACAGTATATAAAGTAAAGGACCCAGGACAGAACCTTGAGGTACTCTACTAAGTACTGGTCTCCAGGTGGAGCACGTCGAATTTATTCTTACTTTCTGTCTACAACGTACCAGGAAATCCTTAAGTCATTTTAAAAGAGGCCCGGCAATACAAAGATTTTCTAACTTCAATAGCAGTCTATTATTTGGGACCTTGTCAAATACCTTACTGGAGTCTATGTAGACAACATCCACTGATTTTCCGTTGTCTAGCGCCTTTACCTAATATTCCCTTGCTATAAGGAGGTTCGTTGTACAAGATAAACCCCTTTTGGAACCATGTTGTTCACCGTTTAACAGGTTATTGGTTTCCACAAATGTCATTATTGTCTGTTTGGCTATTCTCTCAAATATTTTACCTACAACACTTGTGAGGCTTAAAGGTCTGTAGTTCTATGAAAGTTGTCTTAGTCCTGTTTTATGTATGGGAGCGACGATCGCGTCCTTCCAGTCCATAGGTAACACACCTTGGTGAACTGACATATTGAATATCACAGTCAGTGGGGCCGCGATATATTGTGCAATATGTCTCAAGATTTTGGGATGTCGTCCATCTGGTCCTGGTGACTTTTTCATGTCTGTGCTAAGAGCCTTAAATACGTCGTCTTAATCAAAGTCCACGGTGAGCAGGCGGTTTGTTGACCCCGTATGTGGGTTTCGTTTTTTGTCTAGAAAAGGTTCCTGAATTAAAGGTGCCCCGAAATAGCAAGCCGTAGCACCTGCTTTTTCCTGATCTTACTCTATCATTTCAGATTCACTTCCTTCTTTATTTAGTTTCGGAATCCAATGATGCATCCATGTTCTGTAATTCATGTGCGAGAATGTTTGCTTAGGCTGCTTGAGTACAGATTGTGCCAAATACATTTCAAATTTTCTCTGAGCTCCTCGAATTTTAATTTTACACGTGTTTCTTATCGATCTATAGCATTCCATCGTACCTGCTTTGCCAAGGCTGATAGCAACATTTCAGCATTTCTTCTTTTATCTTAGTAAACGTCGAATATTCCGGCCTATCCAGAGATGGCCATGCTTCTTGTTCTTTGGGACCGTCCACGGTATGTATGGTTGAGTTACCCGATTGTATAACTGCCTGAAATGAGTCCATGTCTCTTGTAGTGATGCCCTTAAGTCAATTTCCCAAGCTCCAGCCGATGCTGCGGAGTTGATTCCCTCAATATCTGCCTCCCATATATTAGAACGGGCTGGCGAAACTGTTTAACAAGCAATCTCAGCCATGGATTCGAATGATGTGACCTCATGATCGCTTTTGCCTAGTGGTGAGAGGAAAGCTATTTGACCAACGTCATCACCTGTGTGAAGATCAAATCCAAAAGAGAAGAGGTGCTTCTTAAGTCATATCTTATGAGATCTAATGCGTTGGAATAAAGCTAATGCAATCAAGGTATATAACGGTTTGTAATCGAATGACCTTATCACGGACCCTACTTCTAGGTTAATCCAGTTTATATACGTTGCATTGAAGTCGCCTACTATAAGGTTTTTATCCCTATTACATCAGAACTTACGTTTGCTTAGGAGGAAGTCATCTACTACACATTCTGGGATGCGATATATCACAAATAATTCAATGTCGTTCCGTCTATATTTTAGCTTGCAACACACCAGTTCACATGTCCCTGAATCATGTGCCACTGTCTCAAATTCCCGTATGGTTAAAGTACTTCTCGTGTATGTGATAACCCTCCCTACTAAATAAGAAACAAGTCAACTGAATTTCATTACCGAACACTCCTGACATTACCCATGTTTCTGAGACGGCAATAAAATCCGGTATTACCTCATCCACCATTGTCTTGAGCTCCGCCAGTTTACTACGTATGCACATCTTTAATTCTGTCGAGAACTTTCCCTTACCACCTATAGTGGTTTGGGGGTCATTTTGCTCCGAATTGTTACAATCTGAAAAACTCTTAAGAACGAAGTTTCTTCTACTGTTTCGGCGGCGCTCATTTATTTCCACTTCTGCAGCCCGTCTCTTAATATCATCAACCAGGCTGAGATCCTAACGGACGTATATTCAGGTTGTTTCACATAAATATAAATCATGAGTCTACTCCTAGTGTGTTGCAGAGCAAAAATCAGTGCCTGCCATAGATGCTATTGTGGAAAATCTATCCGAGTAGCACCTGAATAATGTGTTCCCGAATTCTTTGAGGTGCCGCATATCTCAAATGAAAAAGCCCCTTTCACTACGTTTCGGAGCCCATAAGCAACTTGCTAAACTTGTCCAGAGTGAACTTAGACTTTTGGCAGTCCATAACATGAAACACAGGGCACCACTACTCAAATGTGTCCCGATGCCTTAGTGTCTTTCCAGCATTCCTCAAGGTCATAGCTCATGCCAAGCGCACTTGTTCAAAACGAGTGTTTTCGTACATTAAACGGCGAACAGAGCGTAACAATGATATTTTCCCGTTGATGTCACAAGAAAATTCAGATTCACTAGCTGAATCAGATCTGGCAAAAGCTGAGACTTTTTCAGACTATTTAAGCGAAGCCTAATCTAGTGTATTGTTAGAAATACTTGTCCAAAGCACATCGAGATACTAGCCATAGGATCTGTACATGTGACTGACGTAATTCTTCTTCAACTGACCACTAACCTTAAACCTTGTAAGATACAGAGCACTGATGAGTTACATCCACGACTGTTGTCATTTCTTGCGGACATTATTGCAAGATTGCTCGTGACGCTCTTCAACATGTCCCCTTCACCCGTTTGGGATTGTAAAGACGCTACAGACAGTTCTATATTTAAGGATGGTCAGGGACAGATTGTGCCTAACTACCAACCTGTCAGTTTAAGCAGCATAGTCGTTAAGCTACTTGAAAGATATCTCGGGCTAAGTTACTAAGTCATATAGATTAGTACAGTCTGTTAACTCCCGAGTAACATGGGTTTCGCAACAAGCGTTCATGCTTGACTAACTTATTACGAGTGAGGGTTGGGCAGTAGCTCTAGATAATGGTCTGTCTGTTGATGTGATATCCAGAGACTTTAGCAAAGCGTTTGACAAGGTTTCA